TGTTTCATGCTGTAGCTGCAAAGTTGGCATGCAGGCAAATGCTGTTGTGAATTCAGGATTGCTGCTGATGGCTGTCATGGGCTTACTTTTTCCAGCAGTCCTTCAGTACACACACAGTGAGGTGCATATGGGCGAGTCAGAATTGGTTCTTTCAAGATTTAGCAGTTGCATAATGCTTTTAGCATATGCTGCCTATCTCTTTTTCCAGTTGAAGAGTCAAAGGAGTCAATACATTCCCCTCGCTGAGGTATGTTGTCTGAAATATTATCAATGTTGCTGTTTTCGGCTCATTTCACTTCTTTTTTCTTTTATCTTTTGGTGGTTTCTACACTGGATTTTCCTGTCAGCTGTGTGGTAAATGGTGTTCATTCAGGAAACAGGTCAGGGTGAGGAGAGCGCAGATGATGATGAAGTTCCGGAAATATCTAAATGGGAATCTTTGATTTGGCTTTTCATCATGACAGCTTGGGTCTCTATCCTGTCCGACTATTTAGTTGATGCCATGGAGGTGATTTCCATATTGAAATTAGCACTGTAACATCTAATAAATCTCGCAAAACATGTTCTTTTTTCTTTAAATAAAAAAATCTTCCATGGATTAGTATAGTGTACTCCAGAGAAATTGTATCATGTTTTGTTCACCAGCTAATGTCTGGTGGATCCTATTCCTGATAAGCAGAGGCAGGTATGGATACCCAATTACTATGCTCTGCATAATGTTCAGTTGATCCTGTTCCAGATAAGAAGGAATATTTTATTTAACTCCCTTTTCTTGCCACCCACTTTCGTGGTGATATTTAGTGGCCTAACCTTGATCGGTTGTAAAAAGCAGGTGCAGTATTCTAGCAAGAATATGGATTTCAAGATTCGTCCATCATATTACAATCGACGGAATTTCTTATAACTTTTCTCATGCACGCGGGCTGCTTACGGTTTCTGAGCTCTCCGGTTGAATTTTTTTTTGTAGGGAGCATCTGTTTCATGGAATATGCCGATTGCATTTATCAGCGTTGTCTTGCTCCCTATTGTAGGAAATGCTGCAGAGCATGCAGGTGCTATCATGTTTGCCATGAAGGACAAGCTTGTAAGAAATTCTTTTATTTTTATCTTTGCTCCTTTTCAGATGTGCTTTTTCTTGGTTTCTATTTTTATACTTTTTTTTAGCTTAAATATACATTTCTTTGCAGGATATATCACTGGGAGTGGCAATAGGTTCATCAACACAGATATCTATGTTTGGGGTAGGTATTATACATTATATGGCTTATACTTCTAAGAATGATGCTTTATTTAGTTTTAAATTTTGATCATATTTATTTGATTTTCTATTTCTGTGATATATATTTTTATCATAGTGGCACTAATTGATAAACGGGTATTAGAAAAATATTTAAAGGTAATTTTATTAATCACATGAATGTTACAGGACATTAGAATGTAGAGTTCTAATCTTTTTAAGTATTAAGTTGTAGAATCTTAATGATATAAAAAAAAATATATCACAGAATAGAAAATCAAATAAATATGATCGAAACTTAAAACTAAATAAATCATCATTCTTAGAAGTGTGCAAGTACGACAAGCCATATAAGAATGGTGATATACACAAATTATAATATAAATGAAAAATAAGAGTATGTTTATTTTTCTTAATGCATTGCATGTGTGTAAAGCATTTTTCTTTCACAGGTGAACTTCGTAGGACATTTACATTTCATTTTCGAATGAACTGACTGTGTCAATGTTGAGTGTCCATGTAGTTTGAATCTCTTTTACACTGCATTTGGTTCACACCTAGAAATTAAATGGAAATAGTTGAATTTATGATATGTTTGTGTATTACATGTATATACGATAAAATGTATATGTTTCTTTTCATGCTAAAAAGTGCATGTTACACAATATATATGCATATATTTGGATATATATAAAGTTATGTATGGCGAATGTCAAGTGGGCTTCTGATGGTTAATTTGAATCATCAGTTTAAATTAATAACAAAGCCGACAGTAGAGGACTCCTTATAATGAAAAGCCTACAATTCTAACATATAAGAATTCTGATTCCAACTAATCAAAAGGACTAAAAATTCTGGCTGGGCTGATTTGGAAAAGGAATAAGAATGCGGCAAATTTGAACCGAACATTAAACTTAGGCTTGATTTGATTTGGAATGGGATTGAAGCTGAAATTGGACAAGAATTGGTCTGAACCAAACATGACCTTGGTATGATTATTACTTCTGCTTGTTCTGATAATGAATTGGTCGTAAGTCTTCTAGCCACCTTGGTGGATACTAAATCTCTATATGCTGAACTTGGTTATTTCGATACTCTTTTAGCCACCGTGCACAGTCAGTAGTCATTTGATTTCTGAACTAAAACCACTTCTGTCTTCTGAAAGAAAGCATTTTGTTGCATTCTCTTTTTGTTTGTTCTCTCTATAATTTTTGTTATTGTCATTCTGCAGGTACCCTTTTGTGTGGTTATTGGATGGATGATGGGTGTACCTATGGACCTAAACTTTCAGCTTTTCGAGACAGCAACTCTGTTTATTACCGTCATAGTTGTAGCTTTCTTTCTGCAGGTTAGTACATAAAATTCAAACAAAAAAAATAAGTAACTAGTGCTTTTGTTGAGAAATACTAATTAAGCACTTATCTTAGGAAAGGAAAAGAATGAAATCTTTGGTGACTAAAATTGTGGGTGATGTGGACTGCATATGCTTTGCAAGAAACCATTTAAATTTTCTGAAGTTATCAGGATATTTATTAGCATTAGTTTACAGTACAGGTACATTTCTTGGTGGGTAATTTTTGAGTCATGCTGTGCTTGCAGGAAGGTACCTCTAATTACTTCAAAGGACTAATGCTCATTCTTTGTTATTTGATTGTTGCTGCAAGCTTCTTTGTACATGAAGATCCTCCTCAAGGTAAATTTCTAAAAAAATTCAATAGTTTCCCTTTTTTTTTTTATTTGAAAAATGTTTCGTCATATTACGGGGATGACTCTCAATCATAACTTTGATTTTGCAGAAGATGGGATGAAACCGTAGTTGTCGAAGCGGGGAAATTCTTTAATGGGTGGATTTGTAAAATTCTGGCTCATCATCTGTCCTCCCTTTTCCCACTTTTGTTTATGCTTGTTCGGTTTAGGTAGTAGAACAAGTATCTTGCTGATTCTGTGTTTAACTGCGGATCAGAAAATATCTTGTATGTTTATGGAACAAGGAAATTTGTCTTCCTTCATGTAACTTTACTTCTATTCTTTTAAACGTCCTTCCTTTTTAGTGTTTTATTTTTTTTTGGGGGGACTCTCCAATAAACTTGATTTTGGCTTCATTTTTTTCAACAATTGTAGACAGTGAAAGCATGGGCTTTTACCTTTCTTCTTCCTCAAGGTTCCAACTTCATTAAACTTTCTTGGTGTCATTCATGGGGAAAAAGCTTTTTAGGGCTTCACGAAAATTCAAATCTCATATTACACTGATATTAAGATTATCACAATCAAATGCGCAAGGGATCAAAATAAAATTAAAAAGTAAAACCTAATTCTGGTCAACCCAAGTAACTCTTTATGTGGAAACCCATAAAAGAAATTTTTTTGGTAAGAAAACAAACAAAAAAAGTTGGAAGTGTTAAGTTTTTGTTTAAGCAAAATACCCACCTTTCAACTTGGGTGACCCACCTTTCAAAAAGGAAAAAAGAAAGCTTGGTGTCACCATAAAAAAATTTGGTGTCGCCATAAAAAAATTTGGTGTCGCCCAAACTTCAACAGAAGAATTGGCTTCTCAAAACCTAAGAACTCATCTTCATTTTCAGTCCATTTACAGCAGAAAATCCATAAAAGAAAAACCCACCTTCATTCTAAGTTCTGTTGATTAAGAAGAAGAAGAAGAAGAAGGATGGGTGTTGAAGGTCAAGATTTTTCTCCATTGATGGGAAGCTCTTCTTCCTCATTACCAGATCATCACGGGGCTCCCAAACGAACTGGTACCCACTTTTTCTTCATCAATCATTTGTGAATTCCAGATGCGGTTCAACAAAATTTCTTACAATTTCAATTGTTCACCGGTTCTTTTTCATTTATATAAACAAAATTTTGCTTTATTTATATATATAAAAAAAAAAATGAAGGGACAATATGGACAGCAACGGCACATATAATAACAGGGGTGATAGGAGCAGGAGTGCTGTCTCTGGCATGGTGCATAGCGCAGGTGGGTTGGCTCGCCGGTCCGGCTTTGTTGTTGGTTTTTGCTGCTGTCACTCTTGTTTCTGCATTCCTCTTGTCGGACTGCTCCAATTACCCGGATCCCAATCTCGGATCCACCCGAATTAAATCCTACACTCAAGCCGTCAACCTCTTTCTAGGTAACCCCGCGTCTACTCTTACACAACTAATATATAATATATATATATATATAAAATATACGTAGTCACATGGATATACGTATATATATTTAATTGTTTTTTTATCGGTGAAATAGATTTAGGGTTTTGTTTATATTAACTAAGCTTATCATGGGTTATGTGAATAATAGACATATCATCGGCCGGGATTATTATAATCAAAATGTTATGTTTTTAATAAAGATTCATATATTGTAATAATTAAATAATATTTAAATATTAACATCAATACAATTAAATTTCTAAAAAGTTAATAACCAATTGTTATTTCTAAATTTCATAAATAATTTTTGTCATTTTATAAAAATTTTAACAGATCTAAAAATTTCTATAAAAAAAAAACGAGTAAAATAATAATTTTTTTTTTTGAAAAAACTTATTGGGTTATAAAAATTATAGCCCAATAATTCTTTGAATATACATATATGTAATAATGAAAATTAGTCATAAAATTTTTGATTAATTAGAGAAATCATAATTTATGTTAATTAATTGAATCCATAGTAGTGAATTAGAGGAATCACAGCATGCGAGTTAATAACCAAAGTAAAATAGAAAATTCGTGAAAACATTTTAAAATATTTAATTTAATGTATAATTAAATAAATATATTGTATATATTTTGTTTTTATTTAGACGATCTAATATATGGGTATATCTATCTATTGAGGAAATTAATACCCTTGTATTTAAGGTAAGAATTGTTTTTATAATTTTTATAAATTATATGATTTTTTTTTAATGAAATATTAATCCACGAGTTAAAAAATTTTCAGGAGATAAATTTGGAAAGGTGTGTTTGGTACTTGTAGATGAGGGCTTGTATGGCTGTTGCATTGCTTACACCATTACTGCTTCTACAAGCCTAAGGTATATGTATATATATATATCCTCTTTTTTTTTTTTATAAAAAATAATAATTAATCATTTATTTTATAACTATCGTATCGTATAACTATGTGTATTTAGTAAAAAAAATATTTACATAATATTATAAAGTATCACGTGAATAATATAATTTATTATAATCATACCATAATGAAATAAATAAACCTTGATAAAAAATTACTATACATGTTAAAAGTTTTTTGATTTTTTATGAATCGAAGAGAGACGAGAGACTAGCATTAAAAAAAAAAGGCACAAATAATTATTTACGATATGCATGCATTGGTTATCATAATTAATTATAATTAGGTTTGTAATGAGTCATCAAATTAGCTAATTAAATACTAATCCTTGCATAAATGACTTAATAATATTAATTTTCTTTGTTATAATTAGGTTTAATAATATTTTATGTGGTTATTAACATGACATGATTTGAATTATGTAATTATTAAGATATATATGGTTTTTATGATAGAATCCAAATTCACTTGTTATAATAATTACATTTTGTTAGTTGATAGAAATATTTTATATTTTTAATAAAATGTTACGAGTTTAAATTTTATTTTATTTTTTAAAAAAATTTAAATTAAAAGTATAGATACTAAAAAAGTTCAATATTTGGCTTTCTAGTTGCAATTATAAAATGATGCTTATAAATTATTAAAAATATAATTTAATTTTTAATTTAAAATTATAATTCTTGGAAAAATTATTTAATAAAATAAAGCAATAGTTATAAGTTTTTTTATATTTAATTAACATGTGACTTTGGCTGTTAATAGATTATTCAACTTTATATAACTCTCGATCATTTTATTTTACTAACGTATTTTCGTTTGGTATTATTTTCTCATCAATCCGATATAACTAAATCCGAATGAATTCATTATTTGATGAAAAAGGAGAGAGTTAATTTTGTTGGGTTGGAGTCAATAATACAATCTTTATGTGACCTTATATTTGTTAATATATTATTCACAAAATTTTGACATATTATATATATATATATATATATTTATATGGAAGAATGTGGATAATTAGATGGACAGTACGTGTGGTGCACATGCATTTCTTCATATATATATATATATATAAAAGACACCAAAGTAGAAGGGAGAATCTCTAAAAATAGTAGTAGGGAGAAGGACATGTTAATATGGAGGTACTCGAATTTCCAAATGTCTTTTGGTGTATATATAATATATATATATATATATATATATACTTGATCTTAGCAAAAAGGCAAGGAGACGTATATGTATACATACACACACAAGAGTCGAGAAGGAAAGCATGATATTATTTTTGTCGCTACGTATTACAACATATATATATATATATATATATACATGCCAATATAATGTATACTAAGATGTAGTTTAAATGTAAAAGTTAAAAACTAAAACCCAAAAAATGTGTGATTAATTAGGAATCTTGGTAGGATTGTCATGCGGAACGAAGATGAGAAGTTTTGTCGGACTCAATTTAATCAAATAATCCGGGTACGAGTGGAATTCCTTCCTTTATAATCTTGTATCGAGGTTCCTGGTTGAGTCGATACACATGCTTCAGATTTTCAATGGTGAAGGAAAAACAACAAACGCTGGAACAGAGTAGTCCCAAAACTAGGTTTATACATACGATAGTTACCGGTTCTGGTCGGATGGCGATCGTCATTGTAGTCTTTCGTTAGTTAATTTAATTGAACGATGGATGGTCATGTTTACCCGAGTTAGAGCAGAGACTTTCGAGTCAGATTTGAGATAACGATGCACTGAGACTAGACTGGTTTTCCACTTTTCCTTCTAATACACATATATATATATATATATTTATGTACGTATATTCACACGCTATTAGCAGTACTTCACTCATCTTCTCTCCACTCAAGTTCAAGTCTGGCGTCAGTGCTATCTCAAATCTGACTCAAAGGTCTCTGCTCTAACTTGGGTAACCATGACGATCCATAACGGTAACTATTGTATATATAAACCTAGTTTTGGGACCACTCTGTTCCAGCGTTTATTGTTTTTCCTTCATGATATACCACGACTTTCACCGAGGAAGCCAGCACCTAATCCCAAATATTTCGAGATAACGGACGTGCGACAGTAAGGGACACAAGCAGTTCTCCACGACTGATAAACATGGCAGTTCCCAAGTAGTTGCAGAATAGGACCTTAGCAGTTTCTTTCCTCTTTTCCATTATCTAGATCATGCCTCCTGAATAGCAGGGAACAGTTAGTGATAATTTATACCTAAGCATGTTTTCCTTTGAAGAATAGAGGTTAAAAAAATTCAGTAATCAAAGTGTGGTTCTTTCTCACCCTAAGAAAAAAAGTGTTCTTAATTTTTCTGTTTTGATTGGGACCTATCACTTCACCATTGAATCTGAAGCATACACATATACGTGTATCGACTCAACCAGGAACCTTATGGAGTTGCATTGCTCATATCATCACTGCTGTTCTCGGCCCTGGTGTCCTGTCGCTGGCTTGGAGTACTGCGCAGCTTCGTTGGATCGGAGGGCCGGTTGCTTTTCTCTGTTTTGGGATCGTTACCTACTTTTCTTCTTTCCTTCTTGCTGATTGTTATAGGTGTCCTGACCTTGTCACTGGGGATCGAAACTATTCTAACATGCAAGCTGTTAGGGTCTTTCTTAAGGGTGAAATTCTTCTTCTTCATCTTCTTCTTTTGCTTCTTCTTAAAATTTAGGTTTGTCTGGTTTTTTGAATCTGAGCGTGTATGGGTTTGGTATAGCCTACGTTATCACCACTTCAACCAGTAGGAGGTGCTCGAAGATGGAAGATGATGATTTTTGGTTTCTTTGTTTATATTATTATAACCCATTACTCCTGATTTAACATTAAATTAACTGTGTTTGTAAAAAGCTCACACTGTAATCTTATCAAACTTTCTTTTTTGTATGTTTCTGCTCAAACTTCTTTGTTGATTTTTGGTTTGATTTGAGGAAGGGTTTCTGACATGGTTGTTTCTTTTGTTGGTTTTGGTATTTGCAGAGCAATTCAAAGGGCCAATTGCTACCACAGAGAAGGCCATCAGGCTCCATGTGTTTATGGAAGCACCGTTTATATGGTGGTGTTTGGACTTATTCAGGTTGTGATGTCACAGATTCCTGATCTCCATAACATGCAGTGGGTATCAGTTATTGCAGCAATCATGTCTTTTGCGTACTCCTTCGTTGGACTTGGACTTGCCTTTGCACAAGTTCTAAGTAAGTATAAGTCTGTCATTCAACATCTTCCTCATGATTTCCTTCACCAGAGATATATACACAAGAGAAGCAAAAGTTCTTTAATATATATATATATATATATATATATATAGTATCACATTTTTTTTTTCCTGGGATAATGGATTAGAAAACAAATCGAGTTGGCTCAAGCTAAAGAAAGTCATTGCTATTCAACCCTTCTCGTATCTCACTTGTTGCTTTGAAAATCTCATGTTAGTACCATTGAGTTCAAATTTTTTTCTAATAATAAAAATAACCTGATGCCCGTATGAGCCAAATATAATTAGTTTGCTAGAATCTAATTTCTCTGTTCTTAGAATAATTAAAATGCAAAATAATTTAACATTTGAGGGATGATTTTTTAAACATTTAATACCATCCTTGATTTGCTTTTGTCATTCTTCATCGAAACTATTAGTTATGTATTCTTTCTCATAATATTTTGAATTTTTTCTCGTAATCTTTTAGTTCTGGACTTCAATTTTATTGGCACATACATGAAAAAATGTCCTTGAAATATTTATGTATGTAATGTCAGTTTCTTTGCTTTTTAAATTTCGTGTTTGTAAATGCAGTAAATGGAAGAATTAAGGGGAGCATAACTGGAGTTCCGGCTTCTTCTACCGCAAACAAATTGTGGTTAATATTCCAAGCACTTGGGAATATTGCTTTTGCCTATGCATATTCAATTATTCTTCTAGAGATACAGGTATAGTTTCTAATACTTTTAACTATAATATATATATATATATATATATAATTAGGAACAGAGTAATCCAACATTGAAAAGCAGCAGAGAAAACTGAAAGTAAATTATATAATGGTTGATTTTCTTGATTGAAGGATACTCTGAAATCTACTCCACCAGAAAACAAAGTCATGAAGAAGGCTTCAGTGCTTGCAATCTTTATTACCACCTTCTTTTACCTATGCTGCGGATGCTTTGGATATGCAGCTTTCGGCAGCCTTACGCCTGGGAATATCTTGAGTGGATTCGGATTCTACGAGCCTTACTGGCTTATTGACTTCGCTAACATATGCATCGTGGTTCATTTGATTGGAGGATATCAGGTATAATATATCCCAGTTTTTTCAGAATTTTGCTTTTTCCTGCCAATAACCAATATTCCCTACTAATATTTAATCACGTGTAAATCTTGACGTGGTAAGAATGAATTGTTAAATAGTCATAAAAAGAAATTTAGTTTAGAGAGAAGTTGGAAATATCCCTGATCAGCCTCTTTAATTTATGTCTATACAGATTTATAGTCAGCCAGTATTTGCATCAATAGAAAGATGGGCTGTAAAGAAATTTCCGGAAAGCGGATTTGTGAACAAGTTCTATTGCATCAAGCACCCGTGGTTACCATCTTTTCAGACGAACCTCTTCAACCTATGCTTTCGGACCATCTACGTTGCCTCGACAACTGCACTTGCAATGGTCTTTCCTTACTTCAATCAAGTTTTGGGAGTGTTGGGAGCTTTGAACTTTTGGCCTTTAGCTATATATTTCCCAGTGGAGATGTACTTGGTGCAGAACAAGATTGCACCTTGGACAAGAAAATGGATTGTTCTTAAAATATTTAGTTGTATTTGTTTGATTATAACCCTACTATGTTTAATTGGGTCGGTTCAAGGGTTTATAAGTGTCAAATTTAGATAAGAATATTATCTTTTTTTTTTCTTCTAATTTCGTAGTTGGTTAATAGATAAATCAGTAAAAAACGCGGAGAATGTGTATATACATTAACTAGAACTTTTGTATGCAAGATTTACTCCAATCAAAGTCAATCATATTTTTTTAGTTACAAAAGGTAAAATTTTGTTTTGAAGTATTATAGAATCTGCAAATGTAACCATTTGAACCTCTATATATTTAAACAAATGATCATCTAACAGTTCAAACACTAACTATATTAGAAGTTACAGTAAAATTACTGTTATTTTTACAAAGGAAGCTGGTGGAAATGTTGGTAGAAATCTATCACCGTGTCATCACTGTGGCAAAAAAGCTGGTGGAAATGTTGGAGAAGACCTGATGCAAAATACAGTAAGTGCAATCAAACCGGTCATGAGGCTATAATTTATAAAATTAAGACTCAACAGCAAAACGTGAAAGCACATGCTGCTGGTCAGGAGGAGGAGGATTAGCTTTTTGTTGCAACTGTTGGATTTTTAGTTGATTGTGTAGATTTAATGTGAATCTTATTGTGCATAAAAGATTATCGCTTTTATTCTAGCTTTTTTTTTTCTTTTTCTTTAAATAATAATTAATCATTTATTTCATTAAAATAAATCCCTATCATATCATCTAACTATGCATATCTAATTAAAAAAATTATAACGACTCTAGAAATATTCAAAAGAAATAAAAGATATTTAAAGTGCAGAAGCGTAATAAATGTATAGGGTTTACATTACTTACACCAATAACTTAAAGTATCAAACAACGTTACAGATTTTTTTTTTTGGAAAGAAACACAAGAATAAGGAAATAAACAGGAAATAAAGAAATCTAGCATCTATTCGCAATCCTCATGCGGATCGGGCTCTGGAACTTGATCATCTTGATATGAAATGGTTAAATAAGGGATGAGCTACACTAACCCAGTAAAGATATCACACTATAATACCGACACATAAGTAAATGTTGGTATAAAATCAAAACACTAATGGAGTACTTAATTTAAACCAATATATTTATTATTAAAAATAAAACCATTTACTGTTCACTTACCGTAGTGGGATTCATAGAAACAACTTATGCAGATAATTAATATCATACAGATCATAATTTCATGTAAAATCAGCAACATAGCACATATCATAAGTCTATATACATCGTCAATAAACTAAACAATAACTATCATTTTTTTCAACAGCTTACTACTATCCATAAGGGTGTATAGGGATGTCCTTGCTACACGCGAATCCTTTCATTTAATAATCTCAATTACAGGTCGTCTCCATACCCTGTTCGGTATGAATGACAAATTATTAAATTTCAATACCCTATCCGGTATAAGGGTAAAGTGGGCCGTCTCCATACCCCGTCCGGTATGAGACAACGTTCATGGTAAGGTTCCCTATGTACCCGTTCCGTCCACCATCTCCCATGATATCATAGTAAGGCTGCCGTCCTCATCTATTCATTTTTCCATACAACTTTTCTGTTTTTCATTAGTCTTCATTTTTCAAATTAACCATAATCACATAAGCAAACAAACATGCATAAGAGAATATAATCATATCTCAATTTTCTAAGTAAACGGTGGTTACATAAGGCAATAATACATGCACTCAAACCATAAAATTGATAAATCAGATACTATCATACTTTTAAACTGTAAAATAAATCAACAGAAATCAATTTTCAGTTTTGGCTCCATTAACAATTCGTAATTAATTATGCACATTTACTATTCGCACAAAATACTATATTATTATTTATTTAAACTTCAATTCTATGATAGAGAATATGGTGAGGGATCCTTACTCGATTTGATGTCCGAAAAGTTAAACTGTTTAACTGCGCTTACGGACGATTCCTGAGTTCTCTGAATTTTTTTTTGGGAATTAAAATGCATTAATAGTACCTACAAATGTCCCAAACAAACCCAAAATCAGTCCCGGGGCCCACTCGACCAATTTCAGAATTCTGACACGGCGGCTCTGCCGTGTTCCGGTGATGGCACCGCCGCCTGCGGCAGCGATTCGCCTTGGGTCGGCTATTTTCGACTGAATTTGGTCAATTCTGCATCGATCTCTCCGAGAAAACACGTTAAAGGGCCTCGGTTGGCAAAAAAAAAAAATACAAAAAATTTAAATTCCCCAGCGACGGGGCTCTCCAGTGCGGCAGCTCTTCCAGCTCACGTTGCGGTCGGTTTTGCTCCGATCAATCTGTAGAGAAGGACATGGTGATCATAACGGTAGAAAAATTACACAGAACGAGAATCGGGAAGGGCTTCATCGAAAGCATTTTGTAAAATTTCCCGTAGCGGCGCCATCGGGCTTCGCCGACATTTTTTGGCCAATTGGCTGGTCTTTTTACTCCGATTTGGCCATGAGCGTGCTTAAAATTGAATTTTGAGTGAAAGAAAAAATTCTTACCTTTT